GGAGTTTTATGAAATGGGTATCTCATGTCCTGGAGTCTTTTCAAGGGTGCACTGAGGATGATTAAGACAGATCGGCCTCTGTGCAGGGGCCCCTGGAGGGTGACCCTGGGTAGTGCCCTCTAGAATGCTTACACTGCCACCACCCTGTTTCAGTGCACTAGAACGTTCTAAAAACCAGGCGTCGTGTTCTATGTGACATCTGACCTTCCTCGCGAGCCACCCCAAGATTTCCCACTTTCACAGTTGGACGCCATGTTTGCAGCTGGAAACATCACAGGTCAGAGCTAAATTGCCTAAACCCAAGGCATACCAAGAGCCCAGGTCCCAGCAGACCAAAGGCGTTTGGACACATTTTGTGTTTATGCCTCTCCCTGTCAGCCCCGTCTCTCTGCCTCAACAGAGAAATTCATCAGTGGAAAGTTTCCCTGAAGTGGGGATTTTCCTAAATGACTTTCTGGTGGCATTGCATGAAGACAGACTGGGCTGGGGGCAGGACCTGGTGATGTGCATTCTCTTACTGTGGTCCAGCCTTCCTGCTGGGGCTACATTTACCTTCACAGAGTCCCTTCCCTGCCGTCCACCCAACCTAAGCAAATGCTTCTCTCGCCCAGCCCCCTTTTTCTGAACAGAAACAAGGCTGGTTCGGAGGCCCCAGCAGAAAGTCCTTCTTTCCAGAAATCTCCCAGCCTGGAGGTTGCCAGCGCCTTCACCCTCCCCGGCTAATTAGCTCCTTTCTTAGGCGGTTCTGGAACCTTCTGTCATTCATTCTCGCAGCGATAATGGTCTTGGATAAGAGGTCACAGCTTTCCCCACTTCCTGCCCTCCTTGTGGAGGGGGTGGAGTGGGCTCCCCGCCCCCAGGAGCTCCCTCTTGTCTGTCACGGAAACTGTCTCACCTCCCACCCCACTTGGCAAGCTGTGATGGCGTCACCCTGCTCAGAGGGTCAGAGCCCAGCTCCCCACGTAGACGCCTCTCCAGGTCCTTCAGGCCCCACCCCACCGTATGCGCATCTCTGGTGAGTGTCATTAGCATCAGCGTGATGAAATGGCACGGTGTAAATGTTAATAGGGGCTGATGTTTCGCCTGCTTCCGAGTGGCAGATTGGAAATGGTACCATCTTAACTCCAAGGAGCAGCTTTTAATCCCTCTGCTTCCTGAGCAGCCAATTTGGCATGGAAAACCCAACTTCCCTCCCCTCTGAGACATCACCACATCTACCCCAATTGCTTTTCATAATGGGGTCTACGTACCCCACAGATCAGTAGCCTAAGGCAGGGTTCATTTTTGCCTTGGTCTCCAAAGGAAAGAGAAGAACTCGGGGGGAGGGGGGGGCAGCACCACAGGCAGTTCACCTTCCACCCCTGACTTCTCCATTTCTCCATTCCCAGCTCTTGTGTGTAGATAGGATGACCTTGGCCTCCCAGCCCTTCTGCTCCACCCTCATAGCGCTGGAGTAGTAGGCCTGGGATAATGGGTATGTGCCATCACACCTGGTTTATGTGATGCTTTGGCCTGAGCCAATGGCAACCTCTCTACCACTGAACAGCTTCCCAACCCCACCCCTGGGTCTTCCCTGTCAATCCAGGACATTTCCCTAAGTGGCCCCAACAGCCCTGACTTGTCCTCTGTTCCCCTTCTTGCTGGAAGAGGACATCCCTATCCTTTTAGCTGCCCCTGCCAATCAGAGCCCTCGTGTCCCTGTTCCCTCTGTCCTCTCTTCCCCGTGATGGTGAGGGTCTGTCTGGCCTTCCTTCTGGATGATGCATCTCACTGGTACTTCATCCCTAATCCACACTCAGCAGCATACTGCTGGGTCTGAGGCTTCCTCATCAGTGCCTGCCGAAGAAGTCAGCAGGATGGTTTGGGTGGAGGTCCCAGGGTGAAGCCTGGGCCTTGCCGAGAAGCGGCAGTGACATCAGAACAGGGTATGTGAGCAGCAGAGAAGTGAGGCTCTGGCCCTTCCATCCGCCTCTAGTCCTGGGTCTTTATCTTCAGTGACCTTGATGGGCCCCAGGAGGGCTCTGTCAAGAGGTGCTGGTATTCCCTTGTGGTACTGCGGGCCTTAGCAAGGCCTCCAGGCTGCTGTCCCCACAGCCTGCTTCGTGTCACCTCTACGCACCGCCTCATTGCTCTTTTCATCCCCAGACTGTCTTCACCCTCCTCCTTGGACCTTTCACCTTCTTCGACGTCCAGAAGACTAAGTACCTGCAGATCTTGACCTCTCTGATGAGATGGATCGGTGAGTCTGAGAAATCTCCCCACACCTCCCTCCGCCTCTGCAGAGAAGCCAGGCAAACTCCCGGCTGGGATGTGGCAGCAGCTCCATCCAATCGGCCTGCCTGGTCCTCTGACCTTTCCAGAGGGCACGGAGAAGGCAAGTGCTCCACCGGCCTTTTACTGCTGGGGAAATTTAGTACCAAAAAAATGCGAGTGACTTTTTCCAGGTCACACTGAATGGATGGGACTGGGCTGGGACCTGAGCTGCTAATTCTGGTCCGGCTCCTTCACATGACCATGCTAGGTCGGGCTGTGCCCCCTGGAGGGGACAGGAGCAGCACCATTCTGCCTTCTCGGGAGTGTGGTGTGTGCCACAGCCAGAAAACCCAGTGGGCCATGGTAGCAGCTGCTCTCGGCCTCTGAGCTCTGGACCACCAGAGTGTGGAAAGGTACCCACATCATCTATAGTGGCTTCTAACTCACTGATGCAGCTCTCTTGTTCTCAGGTAGATGTTGGGGATCTTCCCCCCTTAAACTGGGTTAGCAGTGGGTATCTGTTCACTTCTGCCGTACCAGCCGGCCACCCTGGCAAAGGAGCCCGCAGCTGGTACAGCAGGGTTGAGGACGATCATCTGTGGGGCTGCTGTTGCCTCTCCTCTGACTGGCTGCCATGTGTCTGTCTTTCTCAGTATAAAAGCTAAAATGGGTTGGGGTGGGGATATAACTTAGTAAATGCTTGTCTGGTATGCATGAAACCCTGCCTTGGTCCCTGGCACCAAATCAAACCAGATATGGTAGCATGTGCCTGTGCTGTAGCTCTGGAAGAATCAGAAGTTCAAGGTCACACTTAGCTATAACAAAGTGAGTTAATTCAAGGCTAGCCTTGGCTACCTGGGACTTATCCAGGAGTCCCTATCCCACCCCCTGGCAGAGTTTCCAGGGCTCCTTCCTCCTGTCTATCCTGAGCCTGATCAACTCCCATCAGGACCAAAGCTGCAGACTGCCTCTGATTTTATGCCGTACCCCAGCAGGATGATGATTCCGCTAAGGGCCGCATCTTTGAGCCCTGGTTCCCCCAGCTCAGTGGGAGGAGCCATGGGAGTCATGGTTCCACAGTGGGAAGCAGGGGTGGGGTCATTCTTTCAAACAGCCTGGCCTGCCCAAGCTAGAGCAGGCTCTGCAGCTTGGGGCACTCTCTCATCCAGGAGCCCCAGAGGGCTTGGTGCCTAAAACTCTGGGTCAGCAGGGGCCAGATCCGAGCTGGTCCCCCTCTCTTTATCTTGGCTTATGTGACGTGTGTGTGAGAGTTCCAGGGTGTCTTTTGCAGGCAGGGTTTGGAGAGGAATGTTCTCTCTCTGCACCTCCCTGTGTCTGTTATCCAGTTCTTTTCTCTCCCTGAGGGCAGGTTGACAAGGCTGGCCCCCGCCCTGCTGGTGCTTGCCTGTCCTCAGCCCAGGACGGGCTCTCTAAGCTCCAGTCTGAAGCTGACTCTTTCTCGTTTCTTCCTGTGGCTGGGATGACATTGAAGGATGGGGGGGAGGGGTACATGCTCTGACTAGCTTGATGGATTCCTGTGTCAGCCAGTAAGGGGACAACAACCCTGATAATGACAGTTAACTTCTATATTTTTGAAGGATGTATCCATCTAAAGAGGGAAGCTTGGGCCCAGTGTAGTGGCACACATTTATAATCCCCACACGTAGGAGGAGGCGACAGGAGGATCAGGAGTTCAAGGCCAGCCTTGACTATGTAGAAAACCCAGCTTGAGCTACGTGAGACCCTGTCTCAGAAAGAGAGGAAGTGGAAGGAAGGATTTGTGAAAGGGGAAGGAATTGGGTAATAGTAAATATTTCTTGTAAGCACCAGGACCAGGTCAGAATTACAGCAGAGCTCTGAGGCCAGCAAGCCCCGACCCTGGAGGCTACCTCCAGCCTGCCTTTGCTTCCTTCCAGTCTACCCTCCCCTTGGATCTGGCCAGACACCTGCTGTGTTAGCCAACTGGCTCAGTAGGTAAAAGCACTCATCATACATGCCTAATAACCAGAGTTTGGCTCCCCAGGACCCGCATAGAAGCTGGACACAGTAGTGCAGGGGTCTGGGATCCCAGTCTTACAGGAAGGTGGGGTAGAGACAGGATCTCCAGAAACTCGAAGCTGTATGCCGCTGTAACAAGAGAGACTGTCGTAAAGCAAGGTCCAAGACCAAGACTGACCCCAAAGGTTGTCTTCTGACCTTTGTTCACACACTGCCAACAACATTCGCCCGAGTAAGTGCACGTACATGTTCCCAGCACCCATGGGTGGCTTACAACTGCCTGTATGTAACTCCAGCTCCAGGGGGATCTGATGCCTCTGCCCCCACTGGCACCGGCTTGCATGTGCATATACCCACATGCAGACACACACACAATTTAAATTAATAAAAAACAGGGCTGGAGAAAGAGCCTAGCTATTAAAGGCCAAGGCTCACCACCAAAACCGCAAAAATAAATCTTAAAGAAACAAAGTAAGGCCAGGAGGTGGTGGCATACGCCTTTAATCCCAGCACTCAGGAAACAGAGGCAGGTGGATCTCTGTGAGTTCCGAGGTCAGCCTGGTCTACAGAGTAAGTTCCAGGATAGCCAGGGCTACAAAGAGAAACCCTGTCTCCAAAAAATATATATAAATAAATAAAAGAAAGAAAAGGAAAGAGGCAAAGTAAAAGAAAGTTGAAAGTACATAAGCAAATGCCTGACTCAAAGGCTCTGTTCCCATGGAACTGCCACCTTGCCTCTTATAGGGCAGACAAATCCCAGTTCTACCCTGGGACTCCTTGGCCTCCAAGCAGCTCGTGTGCTGCAGAGCAGGAAACGGTGGTGCTGAGAGGGGCTGTGGGCAGCAGTGCGAGCCTGGGCAGTGCGAGCTAGTGAGGGTCCTTGGCTCTTTGTCTCTGGGCCCCACGCTGCTGTCTTGACACGTTGTCTGCACCGCCATTTTCCCTCTTTCCCTTGGAGCCGAGAGATAATGAAATGCCAGGAGTCTCCCGGGCGCAGTGCTGTGGGCGATGGAGCACAAGGCCGTCATTTTTCTCTGTGAGAGACTCAGACCTTTGGACTTAAAAAGCTGGGCCTCCTAGTGACAGAGCCGCCCAGGAAAAGAAGAGCTGCCCTTAAGTAAACTCAACCATAGTGAGCCGGGTTAAGTTCCCAGCTGGGGCAGAGGAACTACCAGGGCAGTTCTCTCCTCAGCTAGGCTAGGAACAGGCTTTTTCTTCCACCTAATGCCGGGTCTCGCTCTAAAGAGGAGAATCCCCCAGAAGCACCCAAGCTGCACCAGACAGCCCTGTTCATGGAAGGGACCTCAGCCTGCCCTGGGTCACAGCAAGGGTGCCTGTCTGAGCCAAGCTCACCCCAGGCAGTTTTTCTAGAACACCCTTTGGGCAGTGATCTCAGAGGCCCCATTTGTCCTCAGGAGCCTTTGCCAAGTTGTCATTCTGCCTCTGAGAAGCAGCTGTGTGGCACGTCCCTCCCAAGACCTCCTCCCCACACCCTGCCCCCTCCCCCTTTAACTTCCCTCCTTCCCACCCTTTGCCAGCACACACTCTTTCTCTCCCTTCTCCCCAAATGAGGGCCCTGCCTTTTCAAGAGCTGAGTAGGGAGCTCAGAGAGGCAGTAAGCTGGCTCGGGTTCCAGAAGACTAGGAGGAAGAATAGGCACCAAAGGGACCGGAAAATGGTGAATAAATGTGCTGAGCCGGAAAGTTTCTCGCGCTTGATGAGGAATTTGTTCTGCCATCTGTTGAAATGAAGCCGGGGTCGATGCAGGCCCCAAGAGCTGTGCCCAGGAGCCTCGGGTTCATTCCTCTGAGGGCTCTTCCTCTGCCCTTCACATACTTTGCAAGTCGCCTTGTGTTTCCACAGTGGGATTTGAAGGCTTAAAACGGCCTTTGCAAATAGCCAGTTGTCCAGGATATAGGTGACAGATGCCAGTGTGGGTTCATTTTGCCTGCCAGGCTGGCTGATTCGGGGTCCTTCAATCTGTGTGTGTGTGTGGGGGGGGTTCTATTGCTGTGAAGAGACACTATGACCACAGCAATTCTTATAAAGAAAACATTTAACTGGGGTGGCTCGCTTACAGTTTTAGAGGTTCAGACCATTATCAGGATGGGGGAGCATGGTGGCATACAGGCAGAGGTGGTGCTGGAGCTGAGAGTGCTACATCTTGCAGGCAACAGGATGTCAACTGTCACTCTGAGGGAAGCTTGAGCAAATGAGACCTCAGAGCCATACCCACAGTGGCACACTTCCTCCAACAAGACCACACCTTCTAATACTGCCACTCCCTTTGGGGGCCATTTTCTTCCAAACTGCCCGTGTGTGTGTGTGTGTGTGTGTGTGTGTGTGTGTGTGTGTGTGTGTATGTGCGCGCGCGCGTGCATGTGTGTTTAGCCTGCATGTGTATATTTGTGTACCACGCCTGGTGCCAGGTGGTCAGAAAAGGGCATCAGATCCTCTGGAACTAGAGTTACAGACAGTTAACTGCAATGTGGATGCTGGGATTCGAACCTGGGTCCTCTGCAAAGAGCAATAAAGGCTCTTAACTGCTGAGCCCACACTTCAGGCCTGAGGATACTTGGACGGTAAATTCCTCTGAAGAATAATAAATTCCAAGGAGAATCTCTGCTGTCCCCAGTCAGGGAGATTATCCTCCAGGCCAGCACAGACCTCACTGCCAGCCCGTGCTCTTCCAGCTGGCTCTCCCAGGCTACCGCTCCAGACTGTCCACAGCTGTGTGAGCACAGGGCCTCACCTGGATGCTGCACCTGCTGGCTGTCGCTGCACCCTCCAGCCTTGCTCCCTTTAATGTAGCCCGACAACTTCCTCTCCCACTGTGCACAGACCAAGCTTCTGTCCTCTGGGACTCTCTTCTGGGCTGTGGCAAGAAAGACTTGCCTCGCTGAGGACTGTGAAGACACAGAGAGCCAGACTAGGAGGTGCCTGTCAGAATCATGCCTGGCACCTGCTCAGCACCCAGACAGCCACATCGTCCTCATCTCCACAAGTCAGCTGACTGTGGCCTCAGGATGAACCTCCCCTGTGGACTGGCTCTGAGGTCAGGGACATTGCCTCAGCCATGTCCAAACAGAGCTATGCTTCCCAGTACCCTCCAGGCAGCCTGTCTACCCTCTATCCCCACACCCAGCTGTGGTCCCTGCACCTCAGCCCCCCCTCCCCCACACACACACCTGAGAGAAATGAGCAGACTCATCCGTGTAGTTGGGGTATAGGGAATTAGCTTTAGTCCTAGCCCTCTGTCAGCAGCAGGTGGCCCAGGGACGCATGTCCGCTAAGGCACTATCCTTCATTCCCACAGATCCAGCAACTCAGGGCCTTCCGTCCTGAGCCCAAAGCAACAAGACTTAGACCTGTTGGCGACTCCCTCCCTGGATGCCCAGCTGGCTGCCCCATGGGAGCTCTTGGGCTAGAAGGGGTCGCAATGGCATTATTACTTCAATCCTATTACCCACCCAGCCCTCCCCGCTTGCTTGCACACAGATGCCTCCACGTTGGCTCACAGACAGCTGGCTCAGCTCGGGGCACCCCACCGGTGTTATTAAAAACGCATTCCTTCTAATAAAGGCTGCTCTGGGGCAGCACCACACTCCTCGGGGCGTCGAGGACCCACGGGACTCCCTCCACCCCCACCCCCACCCCCACCTCTGTTTGTGTATTCAGAGCTCTCCAGCTCCGCACTCCCCTCTAAGTGGGTCAGACACCGTCCTCGCCAGGCATCCATAGAGGAGCTAGGGCCGCTCTGCCTGGGGAAGTTGTTCAACCTGCTCTCCCACCCCACCCCCTATGAATGCCCCAGGTTTGTTTGCCAAGCCAGCAGGCGGTGCAGCTAGGCAGCCTCGACAAACAAGGCTGCGGGTCCCCAAGAAGAGACCTTCGCCTGGGAACAGGAGGGCTTTCTGGCTTCTACTGTCCCCAGGTCTGTGGTGGCCCCAGCAGAGAGTCTCCCAGTGGGGCTGCTCTGATCTGTCACCACCAGCAGTCGGGGGTCTTGTAAGCCTGGGCCATCTGTCGCCCACTTTTACCAAGTGGCTTTTGAATTCCTGTGCTGCCCTCAGGTGCTGCTCCCCAGAAGTCCAGGAAAAGCCTTGTATCAGAAAATGAAAGTTGTGTGCCCCAGCTCCCGTCTCCATTCCCCACCTCATGTGGCCAGCCTTCCTGTGCTCCAACTGTCCTGCCCAGTGGCCGCTCCACAAGTCCCTGGTGGTCTTCATTGTTCCCTGAGTTTTCCAGGCATTCGCTCTGCACATGAAAAGAACAGTGTGAAGAGAGGAACTTGGGGTTTCTGTGGACAGGCCATCAGCTGAAGCAGACAGATCATTAGCCTTTCCTAGAGAAGAACCACAGGCTGACAATTGCACCTTGGCCAGTATCAGTCAAGACCAACCAGAATGCCGTGCTGGGCACCAAGAGAAGGCTGCCATTCTCTTCCCGTCTCCCATCTAAGCAACTCCACTTGCTGCCAGCTCTGATCTGCAGGCACCTCTATCACATGCAGCTCTTCCCACCAACCACAACAATCAGAACTGCCGTCCCCACCCCCAGGTTAGGGGGACAGCTACCTGAGCACTCCCAAGGCAAGGGAGGAGCACCTGTGGTCAGCAGAGGGGCGGGTCTGGCACCACCGTGGTGATAAGGATGGGCTCTGCACAGGGTAGCCGCCACCTACAGAGCCACAGCAGCCCGCAGCTCCACCAGGCATGCTCCTTCAGGCGCTGGTGTCTGTCGCCTGTCCTTGTCCTTATCAGTCGACTCTCTCCTCTTTGGTCGCTCTGCCAGGAAGGCCAGGAAGTCTTCAGCGGGGAGGGTGACAGGACCCGAAGCTGTATGTTTCAATCTCCAGAAAGGAGATTAGCTGTCTTACAGCCAGGCTCCTGACTCTGCTGTCCCCACGGTCACTAACCAAGCTGCCCTGACAACTCAGCAATGAAAAATGGGGACTCTGCTTCCCAGGTAGCACCTGTGTGCACAGAGGGGGGGGACATTGAAGGATGACAAGACTAGAATTCCTGCTTTCCTACTAGGAACTTGGCTGCTCTGGAGTCTGAGTGCCTGCCCTGTACGCTACCTCAGGTGGAGAGGGGGCGCTCTGCTCCAAGCCCTTCCAGGAGAAGCTTGTAGCCATAGGACAGAATTAGTCCTGCAAGTGAACGGAGTCTGGTCTTTTGGAAGGCACAGGGACCTGCCCAGCACTGGAAGGAGCCAGGCTAGCTTGAATTCGTTCCTTTCAGGAGAAAAGGTATTGAGAGTGAGTTGTTGACTGGCAGAGGCAACAGAGGCAGGCCATAAAGTCTCAGGAAAAGTCCCACCCGGAACCCCAAAGTACATCAGACTCCTCCCAAGCTTGTCTTGTCCTCCCTGGGAACACACAGGAGACCTCTGAACCCTGGTCAGGTAGAAGAGTGACAGCCCGGAGGGATAGAACAACTCAGGCATCCAAGAATCTGTGAAGAGAGAACTTACACACAGAGGAGGAACACACATAGACACATGCATGAACATATACACACAGAGGAGGAACACACATAGACACACGCATGAACATACACACTCAGAGGAGGAACATGCATGGACATACACACACGGAGGAGGAACATGCATGGACATACACACACAGAGGAGGAACACACATGTACACATGTATGGACATACACACTCGGAGGAGGAACACACATATACACACGCATGGACATACACACTCGGAGGAGGAACATGCATGAACATACACACACGGAGGAGGAACACACATAGACACATGCATGAACATATACACACAGAGGAGGAACACACATGTACACATGTATGGACATATACACTCGGAGGAGGAACACACATGTACACATGCATAGACATATACACACAGAGGAGGAACATGTATGTACCTTGTGTAGCTTTAACTACCCTTGATGGGGCAAGAAGAGGTGCCCGAGATCTTTGTAGCACAGGTGTGAGCTGCCTGCACGTCGGTCTCCTCATCCCTCTCCCCCGACCTCCAAAGCCCCTCAGATGAGCTGGTACCAGTGCTGGGTGTTCAGGGCCAGCTCCTGAAGCTCCTGGACCAGCTCGGAAGCTGGAGCCCTAGAGTGAAGCAATCTCCTCCTTAGAGCACGAGGATGCTCACCACAGTGCTGGTGTTGGGGACCACACCTCAACATGGGAAGTAAGGCTGTGGGGTGGTAGTGGGCTACTTCCTTGTGACTACCCTGAGTTGGTCCCTGCCTGTGCCAGTGCTACGCTGGCCGCTTCCGTCCCCTCAGTGCTCACCCCATCCCAGCGCCTCCACTTAATGGTGTGTGTGTGTGTGTGTGTGTGTGTGTGTGTGTGTGTGTCAGTGTCTGGAGGAGGGGCAGAGAGCAAGAGACAGGAAGCAGGGCATGTGCCGCAGCGACCTGTTGAGGTCCTTTCTCTCTTTCCACCTTTCTGCGGGTTCTAAGGAATCGAGCTCTGTGGGGCTCGCACTCGCCCACTGACCCGTCTTCCCTGCCTTCTCCTTATCTGTTTTTAAAAGCAGTGCAGCAGCCTGCCCCAGGAGCAACAGTTAAGTGGCACTCAGGTTGAACCCAGTGTAACTTGAAATGTTGGACTTTTTTGAAAACCAAACCATGCTCTGCCCCTCAGCCGTCTGTCAGATGCAGCCGTGTCTCGTGGCAGCACTGACCCCGCATCCCGGCTCTTGTGTCTGAATGCGGCTCTCCCTTTGCAGGCAGTTAGTCCCAAGTGGTTGAAGAACAAACACCCAGTCACTTGCACCTGCCTTAGGACTGGGAAACTTTTTCAGCTCTGGCCCATGTTGCCTTGTCAGTCTCCTGCCCCGCCCGCCATGACCAGAAGCAGACCCATGGCCCTGCATCCTGGGGGGGTGGTAGCATGGTGCTGAAGGACAAAGCTGTAGCCATGTCCTCCACCAGACCCAGCTCCCTGCCGGAGCACCGGGCCCAGGCACTGATGCATGAGCTGGCCATTCATTATCATTAGCTCTGGCGTGTTGATTCTCTGCTTGGAGAAGACAGCGCTGTCTTTCTGATAGCCACAGTGACGGATGGCCGCCTCGATGGAGGGCTGCTTCTTGCATGTGCTAAGCTGGAGCCAGAACCACGAACAAGACTTAGGAAATAGCACAGGGTCGGGGCAGTGCAGGCTTGAGCCCATCCCAGAGCGGTTATCTGGGACCAGAACAGAGCTCTGGGTTGAAGCAGGGCCCTCTAGGGAAAATGAAAGAAAATGCTTATGCATGGGCCTGGGACCTTGACATGCTGGGACGATATTTGTTAGATCATCCTTGGGTCTGAGAGCCATGGTTTCAAGTGTCCGTATCTCTCGTGGGCACTCAGGAGTTAAGGAAAGACAGTGGCATGTAGTCTGGCCTTGATGGTCACCGTTCTCATCCACCACCGTTATGTCTCTTATCCTCTTAGGTCCTGCCGTAGGAGACAGGCTGAGGGCAGGAATGTGTTCTAGCTTCTCCTGTATCCAGATAGCCCTGCTAGCTTAGTGGCTTAGGTTCCATGTTATTTCCCTAGCCCCCTAGGCTAAGTCAGTACGTTCTCTCTCTGTAGGACAGGACAGACACCGACTCAAGCCTGTTTAGCCTTTTACCTTTTTTTTTTTTCATTCAAGATACTAGCAATTGAACCTGGATCTTGCACAGGCCAGACAAGTGCTATCCCATCTGAACTGCCCCATCCTTACTATCGCTTTTCAGAGGTAGTACCAGCCTCCAGCCCAGACCTGTAGAGCCCCTGTGCAAATCAGGGGACATGGCAAGGGTTAGAGTTAGGACACTCAGCTCTTCTCCTACTTAAACTTTATGGTTGAGGACTGGCAGGAGGCAGAGGTCTTTCAAATTCCCAACAAGTCAGTACATCACAGCTACCCACAAAGAACACTGGCCACAGTGAACCTCCCCCACCCCAGGGAAAAATGCTCAAGACTGGAGAGAGAGCTTCCTGCTCTTCCAGAGGACCTGAGTTCAGTTCCCAGCATCAGTGTTGGGCAGCTCAAAACTGCCTGTAACTCCAGCACCTGAGGATCTGACGACCTCTTCTGGCCTCACCAACCACCCACACATATGTGCATACGTGTGAATAAAAATAAAAATGGGTCTTTAAGAACATACTCAATTTAAAATTACTGTTAAACACATAAAAGTATCTTTTAGTATGTAATCAGTACGAAAAAATTAATTTTCTCCACCATGAGTCCCAAGGGTCGAACTCAGGCCATCAGACTTGGCTGTAAGCTCTTTCCCAATGAGCCATCTTGCCGACCTAAGCTCTGTGGTTTTGTTGCCACCTTCTAGGAGAGACTCGGGCAGCCTTCGGTGTGCACTGAGGTCCCCCACGCCATTTCAGCACCGTGAGCTTCCCCGTGAATAAAAAGAAATAAAGTAATAAAAATAAAAATAAATCTTCCCATTGCACAGGGAAGAGAAAAAGAGGAAAGGGAGTGGGAGAGCACTGTCCATGTGCCCTGGCAGAAGTGGTATCTAGGCAGGTGGCCCAGTTCGTGCCAGAATCCTGCAAGGAAGGCAAGGTCCTGCCTTGCTTCACACCTCACTGAGCAGCAGAAGCTCCAGACCGAGCCTCAGAGACCCAGGATGCCAGCCAGGCTGCCTGAAGTCAGAGCCCTCCCCTCCCCATACCCCCAGTGCAAGCCAGCTCCTCAGTGGCCCCAGGCTGCATTTCCAGCGCCTGAACAATGGAGCTGGTCTCTAATAACTCCGACCTCTCGCTAAGAGAACTGAGTGTGTGCTTAGGAGAAAAATCAAAACCATCTACTTTGTCCTCTCAATTGCCCTAGGACATCTGTTATGGATGCCCTAATGTCAGACTCCTGCTTACCCCGCATCTGGCCCCAACAGGTCGGCAACTCCATCGTGGCTGCACCCGGTCAATGTGAAACACTACTCACCTTCCCTGCCCTGAGTGAGACCCAGGAAGGCAGGGCCTGCTTGGCAAGACCCTTCAGGAGAGACACTGTTTGTCTGTTCTGATGTTCTCGGAGATCAGCGTGCCTCTGTCCTTGGCGGGTACCCAGGAGGGTGTGGCTTGCCCTTTCTGCCTGCCAAGGGAATGAATGCTCTGAGGTCAGACAGACAGACAGCATCAGGTCAGACAGCTCCTATAGGGATTTATCTGGCTTTTGACAGCAGAAAAGAGGGAAGAAAGCCATTCAGGGGCTGCTGGTACTGTAGGGTGGCCTGGTGCCCATGTGGCTTTTGCCCTGACCTCCCTACACAGGGAAGGGAAATGTACCATCGCTCCCAGCTGGCCACTCAGGGCTAAGGAGCAGCACCTCTTTTTTGTCTCAGCTCCTCAGATAATGGCTTGCCTTCTGTACCTCCCTCCCTTCCTCTCCCTCCCTCCCTTCAAAGAGTTAGATGTTGCGAAGCGAGCTGTGCCTCAAGGTGAATCAATATGGCG